TTGTGCCATATTATAGTAAATAGTATTGAAATACTTGTTAATTGTTTGATACATGTATTGAAACAATGATGACTCGTATAGTCGTTGTGTACTGTATATAAAAATAAATAAATTATAAGCAAAATATTTTATACAAGCTAACTTATCATACATTAACTGTGTTTCCTTAACAAAGGGAAAGTCATGTGCATAACACAGGGGTGTAATAAGCACCGGGAAATAGGCAGCACCCATATGTATGGGCATAAATCTAGACATAAAAATCTTGAGCCCAGTTAAAAATACTTCATTATTTAAATACACACTGCGCGAGGTGAATTCACTGGTTTCCTGTGGATTATCACGAATTTTTATAATTTTGTCCAAAAAATATTTATATTTAATAATTTGTAACTTTCCACCTAGCTTAATAAACTCGTTTTATAAAGTAGGTTAAAATTTTGCATGAAATTTAGCCGAGATGATTTATTTGTAGAAATAATAATCTACATATACATCAATATTATTATCTAAAAGGTCATCAATGGTGTCGATGGGAACGGTACCCCTTTTAATCAAATGTGCCGTTAAGTCATTTTGAAGCATATAAACCAATGGCGTGATTGACAACATCCACAGTATATACACGTAATTACGATAACCCAGGTCTTCGCCGATCAACAAAAAATGCTTAAAATAAGCCCAAATCGTTCGAAACATTGATTTATTTTTGTGCTTGTTACTTAATTTATAATAAACTACTTTGTCAAATAGTATCATAAGCAAAAACATAGCAAATATACAAAACCAGATATGTTTGTGAAACACTTTCCAACAGTCAATGATCGGTGGGAACGACTTATTAGTGACAATACTTATGAAATTTAATTTATGAGAATAATAAAGTGGTCTGGCACATTTGAACGCTTCGGACTCTGTATGCCACACGTAATCCATGGGCGACCTGTCCGCTGAGGTAAGTATCCCGTGTCTATCCATCTCTATCTCACGTGCATTTATAATGTATATGGCTATTATAAATACTTAATATTGTAAAAATATAATTATTTAATAATTACTGTATAATTAAATACTTGGACGCTATTTTCTAAGTATGCAAAATGTACTAGTACTAGTAAACGTATTTTATTAGCTATTTTTAATTTATATTAATTATAGTAATTATATGTTTTGCCATTTAAAGTTAATTAAATAGACATTTAAATTATCGCAGTTAATGTGTAGTTAATGTTTAATACACAATTAAATTTTTATTTATAAACTTAATTATTAATAAATTTATTTTAATATACAAGTTTAATTTATATTTAAGTTTCTTTAAAAATATTATAATAGTTTAACTATTTTTACAATACTTTGACAAAATCATTAAATATGGGTAGTTTAAGTGAAATGCTGACAAACCATGGTGATATTATTAGATATATAAAGTCGCATAATTTTGGCTATTGGCATAAATTTGTGCACAATGTTAACATGACTTATTCTGACTGCACACAAAACATTGCAATTAAAAATCACACTGATCAAATCAGCGATCGTAGATTTTATTTTAAAGCTTTATCTAATGATGTAAACTAATATGATTTCTATTTGACCATGAACTAAACTTGTTTATCATAATACAGAAAGATTATATCGAGATCGTGGGACAGGGAGCTGCATATTATGGCTCAATAATGGCGTCAATATTGATTGAAATCTCTAAAGCGGTTAATTATAGGTAGGAATTTATGCTGGTTATATTCATATTATTGATACTAGCAAATAAATACATACATGTTAATTTTCATACAGTGTGCATCTATATGTTTTTAATTGCAATGAAATACCTGAGCGGGATATGGTGTTAAGTGGACAGTTAACAGGTTTAGATAAACCATCACTAAATTACTTATTAGAAACTAAAACCGTAGACAAAATGAGCTACCGGTGCTCAAAACCGTTATACATGTCCAATCAAATAAACATCTTAAGTGTTAACAGCTATCAAGCTTTGCCACCAATTTTTGACATATGGAAAGGCCTGGGTACAATTGTGTGGTATTCTATACTAAGTACTCTTATATGTCTAATTATTGTCAATAAAACTATTCATTATCTTAACCACAAAAATGGTAAAAACAAATCAATTTGTCATTACATTTGGATGTATTCAAAGACATTGTTAGGGGTATGGGAAGAGCCGGGTCATCGCAATTACCTCTATATACTATGGCTAACATCCCTAATACCCATACTTGAAATCATAAGAAACGGATTGTTAGTTAATCTCGTGAACCGACCCTTCATTAGTTCACATACTATTGAGGATATAATGGACGATAAGCTACAGGTGCTGACTAGTCGTCGTAATTACAAGGAGTGGACGGGCAGTCAGTTTATAGATAGCCTACCAAATAATTCATTTAAAGCTACTTTTGTGCGATTAGTGACCCATAAGCTGTTCCGATGGGACAGTCTGGAGAGTATATCCAGGTTTTCAGAGATTACTGAACGACCCGAAGATCTTCATAATTATTACAAACATTTAGTCATTCTTCAGGACCAGACCTGGACTGACGTCATATTGATATTTTGGTCCCTATTTGAGTCCATACACGTGGGCGAGTCCTACCTACCATTCCTCATAACTCCCCTATGCTTCGGACCGAAGTTTGCATTCATTAATCAATCGGATATTATGTAAACTTTTTTGATATATTTGTTAAACATTTAAAAATTACTTATTTTCTAATAGTACTCAACGCCTGTACGAGTCATCACTATTGCAATACTGGCATATATCGAGAAATAAGTTTATTTTCAAAACGTACATGACCATTTTGGAAAATACAGCCTTTAACAATAGATCTGTGTCCGACTTTTACTACCAGACCCCTAACCCATGTGAAGACCTCACGGCTCATAAAATGAAATCCTTATTCATAATGACTTTTATTTGTTTAGGCGTTTGTTTAATTGTATTTGCCTTAGAAAATGTTTATAAACGTATAGCATTTTTCAAGAGTAATTACAGTATTTATAAATATTAATACAATAATTAGAAATACTTATAAGCTATTCCTATATAAGAAATATATTAAATTAATTACATATAATTTTTAAAATACAATTCTATTTTAAACAAAAATAATTATTTTAATAGACATGCAAATTTATGTTTAAATAAAATAATATTTTACATATTATGTATAATTAAATGTTTTTCCAATAAAAAAATCTCTAATAATTACTTTATTAATTGATTGTTAAAATAATTATAAATAATTATTATGGGAAAAATACATAGCTGTTATGTATAATTATTAATGATTAATAAAAATGTAATACTTAAGTACAAAAACATAATAAAAAAGTATATATCAATATTTATTGATTATATAACATATTAGATACCGTATATTAAACTAATATATAATATTTATGTTTGTACATTTAATCTGTTGTTCCCTTTAATTTAATAATAATGTACTAGAACATTTATATGTTAGTGAAATAACTGTCTTAAATACTAATAATAAGTTTTTAGCAAATAAAATAAACATTTTATTTATTGATACAATGGATGAATTAAAAAGTCTGATACTCATATATGGCAATGTTCAGAAATACATCGAGGCACATAATTTCGGTTTTTGGCATAGATTTGTGCTTGGTGTTAATATGACTTACATTGACTGCAATTTTAACACATCACTGGATATGTTGTCTAATAAAAAGTTTTTTATGAAAGCCTTGCCAACGGATGTAAGTATAATATAATAAATATCCTTGTACAGTATATGTATTTATTCATATCTGAGTAAATATAACGGATGATACCTGACATATAGGGTTATCTTTCGCTTCTTGCAAGCATTTTTTGCTTACGACTAAATATCAAAATCTTTAGTGTATAAAGTCTATGAGTTTAAGTTAAAAAGATATTAATNAAAGTCTATGAGTTTAAGTTAAAAAGATATTAATATTTAGTTGTAAGCAAAAAAAGCTTAAAAGATGCGAAAGAAGTCAGGTTTCATCCGATATATTAACTCAGATATATTATTTATAATACAGAGAGAGTACATTGAGATTGAAGGTGAAAGGTCAGTCTATTTTGGCTCTATTGTTGCATCGATTTTGAATGCAATTGGCCAGGTTACTAATTATAGGTGAACTTATTTTTTAAAATTTTATTTATAAAAATAATTTATATAATAATTGATAATTTTCACATATAAAGTATCCATCTATTTGTGTATAAATGCGAAAAATACCAACTACCGGACCACCAAATGATATTAAGTGGAAAGTTATCATGCTTAGATAAAACTCCAGTTAATTATTTATTAAATACTGATAATAGCCTGGGGTATAATTGTTCAAAACCATTGTATGTAACTAATCTACTAAACATCTTAAGTATCAACTCGTATAAGCCTTTACCACCCATTTATAACATATGGAAAGGACTGGACACTAGTGTCTGGTACACTATATTAGGAGTTTTAATCATTTTATTTATTATGTATAAAATTACAAACAAAGTCTACGATAATAAATTTCCAAACACCCTGCTGGCATTTATATGGATATTCTTTAAGCCAATGTTAGGCATATGGGAGCAACCTATTTATGTCAACTATTTATACTTATTATGGTTAATATCACTCATACCTGTCGTGGAAATCATAAAAAATGAATTGTTAGCTAATCTTATAACACGTCGGTTACTATACGCGCATACTATTGAAGACTTAATAGACGATAAATTAGAGGTATACACGGGTGGTCATAATCACAGGGAGTGGACAGACCCTCGCTTTATCGATAGCTTACAAAATAATTCATTTAAAATGAGTTTTAAAAATGTGATAACAAGTGGTCATTTCAAACGTTGGAACACTTTGGACGCATTGAGTCACTTCGCAGATATAACCAAAAGTCCGCAAATTTTCCGTAAAAGTCTGCAAAATGTTGTCATCATTCAGGACCAGACATGGGTTGAATTACTTATCATGTTTGGCACCAAATTCGCGTCCATACATACGGGACAGTCATACCTACCAGTGCTCATGACCGCGCTCTGTTACGGACCCCACTTTCCATTTACTAATATATCGCAAATTATGTGAGTTTTAATATAAATTTTATGAAAAATATTTTGAATTATTTGTGTGATTAGTACACAACGTCTATACGAGGCATCACTTTTGCAGCGCTGGTATCTCTCGAGAAATACATTTTATATGCAAATCTACAAAAATTTTGCCGAAAACAGTGTTTTTATGGACAAACCTCTAACCGATTTTTTCGCCATAACGGTCGACCCCTACCAACACTTGACTATCACTGAAATGCAATCATTATTTTTTATGACAATCTATTTGTTAAGTATTTGTTTAATTGTATTCATGTTTGAGTGTATGGTTAGATTATATACTTATTTTATTATTGTTTATTCAATTAATAAATATATTATATAAGTTAGATTAATTAAATTTGATTATAACATTAATTTGTTATATTATATGCCATAAATATGTTTGTACGAGAATATTATGTTATCAAATGTTTATGTAATTTGTTTATAAGCCCGATTATAAACTTCTCAAGCATTTAAATATTCAGTATATAAAATTAATTTTAATTACTGAAGTTTTTAATATTAAATTAGTTTATAAATTAAAAAAACCAGTGTTATTTTTATTTTAATTAGTCTTAGGATAAATTGTGTATTTTCCGTACTTTGTATTGTTTTAATTTGTGTTTTGTTTTATTGGCCGAATTTATTTATATATACTATTTAAAAAAGATTTGCATGTGACCATGTTTCATTTGTGTTTTATTCGGGCGTATTCCTAAGACTTACCATTGATTCTCTCTAACTGTGTCTTAGTTATATCAATAAAACTCACTCCATTATACAGATTTAGCTTGGTAAGTAATTGTTATCCAGATCCGGTTTCCTAACGAAAAGTGGTTTGTCTAATATTCGGTAGTAAAGTCTAATATTGATAGCTTTGGCGCTTAAAACTTTATATATTTGTTATATTTATTCATTCATAGTTTTTAAATGAGTCCATTAGTATGTGTAGATGCGAAAACTTTATGTGAATCATTGATATTTGGATTAAAGATTTATATAAGTTCACATTTATTTAAAAATTCGGTATTTCACAATGAAAAAATGAATATTTATTTTATGCAGTTACTTGTCATCTATACCTTTATTAAATAAATAATCAATACCATATTAGCCCTTTTACTGAACTTGTAATGTATTAAAGTATGATTATTTTTTCAAGTAGCATTTTTCAAAGTAATTACAGTATTTATAAATATTAATATAATTACCCTGTTTGACGCCCTATAGTGCGCCCCCACCGCATAGTGCGCTTTCATTTCTTACAAAAATGCATATTTCTTACTCAGATAGTGCGCACCCTACGTATAGTGCGCCCATATATACCCAGGTATAGACGAATTGAATTTAAGTGACTTTATGACAACTAATCATCTGAAATATCTAGACATAAGCTGAACACAAGGAGTAGATAAAATAAGGCGACGTGTACAAAGTACGTACGCAAAATTTTTGTCAAAAAATGACCCCTTTCCCACAAAACGCCCATCGTAAATAGGAATTTAACATGGTGACATACGATTTGGCATGACCCCCTCCCCCCTACGAGTGCGTATGTACTTTGTGCACGCCACCTATAGAGGTTAACTTTTTAAAATTCATACAAAATTGATTTAGTGATATTTGTAATATTTATATTAGTCAACTGAAAAGTACTTTTGTTTAAAAGTTTAAATTAAGAGTTTAGTTATAAAATACTTTGTGAAATTAAATTACATTTACTTGTTGTAGTGAACTAACATTAAT